CCCCCCAGCACACCAAGTACTGAGGTTAAAGGCATACAGTCACACCCAACTTTCCCCTGGTGATGGAGATCCAAGCCCAGGTCCTCATGTTTGCCCAGCAGGGGCTCTGACCCACTGAACCATCTCCCCGGTTCCAAGATTTATGCTCTTAAGCTGAGATGGGTAACAAGTAATGGTTCTGTGTTGGAAGCCGGTGGTTTAGGTGCAAGGCTCCTAGGAGGGTCTTTTCTGCAGCTACGAGACAACAATAATAAACGGATTATTCGGTTGAAAATAAAATTGCTTCCTGAGTTCTCTTTGTTCCTTGCCCAGACTCACCCCAATTTCCAAGTGTAATTTTGTGATTATTTGTTCAGTGCCCAAAATGTCTGGCAAACTCTAAAAGTCTGTGCTGAATTTAGACGAGTTTTTGTAAACTGCCAAATAAGAAACATTTATTGCAGGTCATACTGAAAGGCAGATATGTGAAGCCCTCTTAGTTCAAGACGAGCGTTAATGAACTTGTCCCGAAAAGGGGCCAGAAAGTAAAGATTGTGAGCTGTGGGATCTCGTGATCTCTGCCACAATTCTACTACGGTACCCTCAAAACAGCCATAGAGAAAATGGATAAAGAAAATCTACCTATGTCCTAATAAACACCTCTTTATGGGTCCATAAGCAGCAGTGTGAGGGTGGCTGGATTTGACTAGTAACAGATCATCTTGGATCAGGGCAGTCATGGAAGGCTCCCTGGGGGAGGCGAGCTTGAGCTGGCACCGAAGACTACAGAGTACCCAGAGTTCCCTCCTAAACCGGTAACAAGAAGTGCTGATTTAACAGTAGATAGTGGCCATGAGCAGAGAACACGGCTGCCAGTGTCAAATGAGACCTGAGAGATAATGGGACCATTGCTGGGTACCTTTGCAAGCTATTAAGTAAGGAACTTAAATCCGAATTTAGCATCTATGACATCTATTCCGATATCATAGTCATCTATGTACTCACAGATAAGTACATCTGTAATCTCAATACTTGGGAAGTTGAGGCAGGGAAAGTTCAAGGAAAGCCTGGGCTAATAGCAAATTTTAGGCTAGCCTGGATTACAATGCTATGTATTTTGAATTAAGTTTGAGAAATCTATTGTAATGTGCTTTTAGCAGCTTGTCCCAATAGCTACCCTGTCTTCTAAACAGACAGTTTCTATAATTAGTGAACACACACACACACCTGGCACTTCAAATGCAATCTACTACTGCAGGTGGTCACCACAGGTGCCCACCCTCAGACAGAACAATCCCTGCCATTGCAGGGTCATTGCAGCAGCAGGGCACTATCAAAGAACTGGATCATTCTGGAGCATCCCAGAGGTCGTAACAAAGACGGACAGAAGAAGAAGAACAGGCTCCCACACAGATCTCACCAACTCCCAAACCCAGCCCTCTACATATTTTTATGTTCCTGTCAAAATACATTCTGTTTAACACTGAAGTCCAAATGTAGTTCCTGCTGCCCCCAAATTGTTTGTATTTTTAATTAAAATGCATGAGAAATGGAGGAATAACGCATAGCAAAGAAAGAACTAGAAATTAACATTTGCTTTCTCTATTACCGAGAGGGGGGCTTATGCAGACCAAATTAAAATAAGGTTGTCCCTGTTTAAATTTGGCCATTGATAACAAATTAAATTACAACCTGGCAAATATTTGCTGGGGAGAACAAGAGTGTAAGTCCTAACCCCCGGGGAGAATTTAGACCAAAAGCTTGATATGAGAAAAATGAGAAAAGATGCAAGAAATAAATGTATAAGCGGGCCGCCTCTGGATCCAGAAATCCTTCTAAATCAATCTCAGTAGGGAAGGCCAATAAACCTAATAAGAGTTGCGCATGATCTGAAGGGGGAAAAGCGATAGGGCTGAAACGCTGAAAAATCATTTGAGAAGAATCGTTAGGTCAACCTCTCCTTTTGGTATCAATCCACAGACACCCAGCAGTTCAAAGGCACGCTGGATGGAGCCAACAGGGCCCAAAAGAAGAGTAAGTATGAATTAGGGCAAAAGCAGAGAACTGCACAGGTCTCTCGCTTGATGAATTTCCCACGGCGCAATCTTGGGAATATGAATGGCTGCGGATAGTCTCTGTTTCTGCACGTCTGCCCCTGCCAGGTAAGCTCATTCACCTGCTCACCGAAAGGATGGCTAACGTCCTGCTGGTACCCAGAGTCCAGGTGAGGCCCTGCTCTTCTGGAGCAGTGACTTCTCACACCACTTGGACCCCTGCTCTGGACAATTCTTTAAATAGTTTAAAACCTCATCAAAAAGAAAAGGCTAGGTTATTCCATTTCATGTCAATTGAAAACTATCCAAAGCATGGGAAATATAAGAAGCTCCTATTTTCTATGTCGTTTCAACAAGTATATACTAATATCAACTATTTGTGAGATGACTACATGGCACACGCTTTTAAAGTTAAGTGCTTGTCCATAAATTAACCCATTTGATTCTCACCACTCCATAAATAGATACTATTATTATCCATATTTCATACACAAGGAAAGTGAAACTCCAAGAGATTGCCTAAAACCCCAGAGCCAGGCTTATTTTGCAGCATAAAACAGTGGTCTTCCTTGATTTGCTTATACAAGTGAGATTAAAAATGCACTCCTGTCATTGACTCATGTCACATACCAAACTAAGGTGTTCAGGTGCAGGTGTGCATGTGTGTGAGTGTGTGCACACGCATGTGTGTGTAAAAATATTACCTACATTCATGCCTACAATATTAGCATTTGTGTTCTTGTAGATCACAAAAAGCATTTTCACAATTTTTTTTTAAAAGTTTCTTAATGAGACTAGAGGTCAGACTGGGTACCTCAACAGAATAAAGATGCAGTTGGGGCACCAGGGATACAAAGCCATCCCGATTTTTTAAATTATATCATTACTTTAATAGCATATGGATGTTTTGCCTAAATGTATGGCTGTGTGCCTCTTGCGCTGCAGAGGCCAGAAAGGGGCAGCAGATGCCCTCGAGCTGAATTTACAGGTGGTTGTGAGCTCTCAAGGGGGTACTGGAACTCAAACCTAGGTTCTCCAGAAGAGCCGACAGCGCTCTCAGTCTCTGGCCTATCTCTGCTGCCCCGTGTTTCAACAGCTCGTACCTGACAATCGGAAAAATAAAAACAATCGTGAGGAAACTCCAAGTGTGTTGCATTTCTTTGCATTTGCTGTGGGTTAGCGGGCAGCTATTGGTTTGGGTTGGTTTGGATTTGTTTAATAATTCCACTTAAGAAGAGTGCCCAAAGAGGTGTCCTGACTTTTGGAGGTCTGGAATATTACATATAATATATGTATGTATGTGTGTATGTATGTATATGTGTGTATGTATATACACGTATATATGTATACACATATATATCCTTACTGTTTTCAGTGGGTACAGGTCAAAATGAGGGTATAACAGGCTCCTATCTCAGCATCCTGAACTCTGCTATAGACTAGCAATAAAGTGACTTCAACTTTCCACGTTCTAGAGAGAACACCCAGCATTTGAAGTCAGCTCTGTCTTGCAGGTCCTCTTCACCAACCAACTCTCCCCATACCATCCTTTTTGTCAGATCACAGACCTCCTCTGCCAGGGCTATGGGGAGTTAGAGATGGTTAGGATTGCGGTCGACGTTTGATTTCTTTAATGGAAAAATCAGGTTCTTTCCTCTTCCCTCTGTCTGAATGTTAGAGCCCCTTCATGTGACCATTTCTAAAGACTGTACACACTCCTGTTGCATTCACTTTCCCAGGTGAAACTCTCTACAGCAGTAAGCCCACACCCACCGTGGTACTGCCACCTGAAGAGAACTGTCCCGGGGGGCATCCTTTGGAAGCCTGGGGGTGTGGTACCCTCTTGATATGTGCCCTCTGAGATATAAGGTTGAAATGAATTTATAGCCAAATGCTCAGCAAGATGCAGAGATTTCCGGGCCATCCAGTGTGCTGTGCGTGGGATGAAGCTTGGAAAGCCTGCCCTATCCAGCGCTCTTCGGTTCCCTGCAGGCAGAAGACCCTGCTAAATGTTTTCACCTCATGTGAAGAGGCACCACAGGCTCCCAAACAACAGTGTGCCCAGTCCCCGAAAAAGGATCAGGAATGTGAATGCTGAAAGGGCCCAGGGGGTGAGCAGATCATGTTTCTGCATACAAAGCAAGGAAGAGGAGGATGATACCTTCAGAAAACAATGTTCAACACAGCGCAGAGAGCGGCACTTTGCCAGAGAAGGCCTTGTCAGAGAGAAGCTGCCTGAACCAGGGCGAACATGGCCTAGGACCCACCATGGACATTCTAACAACTT